ATATCAAATATGTCGTAGCAAATATTACAAATCGTTCAATCGTCCAATGTCCATTGCAGATTCAATATTTTTTACAGTTAGCAGTTTAATCAAGAATTAATTTTCCATAACTCAAGTACTCTTGATTAATTCTTACGAAAGCAAACAAGAATTACGAGAAATAGATTCATAATTACACTATGTTTATTATTCTCTTTCATTACGTACAATTTACTTCATTACGTACAGTTTCCCGTTAAAACGTATTGAGCACTCGATCTCGTCTCAACACGAAACCGGCATGCTACGATTAGCGAATCCGATTACCAAAGCGCGTATGTAGCCTCTACTTCCAGTTAAATCATGAAGCGGGCCATCAATTTGTTAGGTTCCATTGCAAACACTGACTGAGCAGTAAACACATTCTTGATAGTGGAGCAGCCACATTCCCTGTATCTATATAGTAGCGCAGGCAAGCGATAAAAATTCACTTATCTCGAATAAAAAAAAATAAAAAAAAAAATATATATATATATATATATATATACAGTGTCCGGGAACTCGCGGCGTAGCCGCGGTGTGCAGGTAAAATACATCGACCTAAGCAAAAGATCCCCTATCATTTTGCACATAACCGCGTAAAATTTCAAGATATTAATGGAAAAAAAATTGGACGGAGCAGGGCGCGCGATGTTATAGGGCGAGCTCTGTAAGCACGAGATCTCATCGAAAATGGCTCGAGTTGCCGGATATCCTGTACGTTATCAAAAACGCACGGGAAATAATGTCCGCAAATTTAGTGTGTATTTAATTATATTTCAATCATAACATATAAAATTATTCCAAAATTTCAATCATAAAATAAAAATAATAAATAAATAAATAAATAATATGCGCGACACGTTTCTCTACAAAACGAAAAAAAAGAACTCTTGAAGTATCGTGTAGTGGATCGTTGAGGAGAAGCTTAACGACAGCGTCGCGTTGGAGTGATTTTGTCGTGTCACCCGAATTAACATTTTAATTAACGGCATAGGAAAGTGGTCCGCATACTTCGCCGAGCGACTCCATGGAACCGTCAGCGGTTCCGGAAGTCGGTGGAGGGTGACGACTACGCCGCGAAAGGGTTTGCCGAGGCGTCGAAGCAAAACCCTCGCCACAGCCGAGAGCTAATTAGGCGCGCCGGGGCGCATGGAGGCGTTTAACTGTTCGCGCATTCGCGTGATCGAAAGTTCGTTGTCCTTAACCTTGACCTGCGACCTTACGATACCAAAACGACGAAAGCGAGCCCAAATCCCAGACATTACTGAATCGCTGATAAAATCTTCAGGCTGTTTCATATACCTAATTCATACTCAGCCTCGATAACGCGAACGCAAATTATTGTATCTTTATAATAGTTTCCCGAGCGTGAATCTGATATTTCTTCATTAGAGAAAGGAAAAAAATCGAATCTGATATTTTTCCGTTGGAGAGCGAATATTCGATATCATTATGCACGAAATAATTGATCGATTTTAAATGATGAATTTTCTCTACATCGCGGAAATATAATATTGATATATATATATATATTTTTTAATATTCAGGATAAAAATATTGTATTTTCACGTCGTTGTGAAAGACATACCTTTACAATGCCTATATAATGTTACGTAATCATTTATGAATGTTTTACGTTCCATTATTTAAAATGAAACATTTCACGGAACGACAGCTTTGTTTACTTGCTCTTTTACAAATCCATCCAAACTTATTCAATCCGGAATTTCAATTTGATAAAACTAAATATTTTAATATGGAACGATGCGTTTTATAAAAAAAGGCATCTGTTTCCAAACAAACAATACTTACTCGTGCTGCATTACGTTTTGCTGCAATAAGTGTAAAATAACACGTTTCTCATTGTTATGCGTAATAAATATACGATGATTGGTGGTTGAAATAATAACGGAAAACAGGAACTGATACGGACATAAATAGTATGATTTCCTTTTTTTCCAAGTGTGTGGCAACCAGAGTTATTTGTGTCCGTGTCATTCTAAAAAGTATTTCTATTTCTCGGGGCATTTTCGTTTAACCTTTTAACCGTGTTCGTTTCGGATATATTTTGACTGTGTTCAGGGTCTAAATAGACCCAATGGTGAGAACTCACTATTTAATTGACATATATGTATTTTTTGGTATCTTTTATTTTAGCATTATATAAAATAATTTAGGACAATATGTGACTCTTTCTAAAATAACTTGAAAAGTCGCGAATTATCACATTTGTACTATTTGTAGTATTTTAGAATATTAGAAAAACTGTGTGAACTTTAAAACTGCTCTGGGTCAAAAAAGACCCAGAGCACGGCTAGAAGGTTAAAAATCATTCATTAAAAATAAAATACTCTTAACAATATTTAGAAATTTATTTTTAGAAATCAATTTTTCTCATGAAAAATTATATGGTCCTTAACTGGAAGAATAAAGGAATTTTCAATAATACTATATATAATATTGGGGATGTTTTCGAGCACTCTAAAGGAAGAAAAATCGAGAAGAACTCTGATTGCCATTCTGAAGGCAGTGAAAATACGTTGTCATTTTTAAAATGCATAGTCATTGTTCGAAGAATAAATTATTACAGAGCAAATACAATTTTTTCCAAACGAACTGGATATCTTTGAATTTTAATGCGATTTCCTATACTTCCTCATGAAACTCATACATATTGGCACGTTCATTAACATCGAATCTCCATTTCGTAACCGTAGAACGTATTATAAAGGTCGACTCTGTGTTAATTAATGTCATGGAAGATGATTTCATCCGAGTCACCCATTTTAAATGAGGGAATGTTCGAATATCGCAAGATAGCTATGTCGTAAATAAGCATAAATTATTTTTACTTAATAATTGACAAGTAAAAGCTAGTCAATACAAAGTAGTTTAAAATATAGAATACCATCAGTAAAGACAAACAACCGAATCGCCACGCATGGAACAATGGGATAATGAAACTTCCAAGTAACTAAAGTTCCAACTATGAAGTTGGATCGTAGCTTGACGAAAGTTTCGCAGAAGTCACAGATGCAAGTAATTCCCAACTGAAGCTACGAAGTATTCTATATGATGCTCTCTATCTCTCGTATGTCATGCCCCCGACTCTTCTTTACGAATTTCACGATAATGAAGTCAGGATTTAGGCGTCTCTCGAGATACAATTTCACTTCTCCCCCAATACGAAGATTCTCCTTCGATCGATGTAGAGCTTTAATTCGATTTCGTTGATAGACATTTCGACGGAACAAATTGGATCGTTTTCACATGAAGTTGTTACTTAGAAATAGAGACGTGTATGCATTAATTATACACAGCCGGGAAGAAACTCAATTCTACTTGGCGAGGAAACGAGATTTGCTCAATCTAACTGTCCAGAAGTTCCAAGAAACAATTGTTTGCTCTCTAAATGATTAATGTTTCCTGATATTGGCCCATGTATATAGTCAGATCTTATATTTATATCGTCTTAAGTTTATATCTTTAAATATAAACCCGTAGCTAACGAAACAATTCATACAACATCCAAAGGTAAACTTAGGACTCCTTGTCTCTCTCGCTTCGAAACTTTCGATTAACGTTAGATAATGACGTTTCGATGACGTCAGACGCGAGAAAATACACGATAAGAATTCTTGCAAAATAAAACGATATAAAATGATACAATTGATCGAGCACATCTGTAAAATAACTCGAACGCTTTTCTTTTGCAACCAATAAATTATCGTAAAATTAACGTAACCCGTTAACACGCAACCTGTCTTTTTAACATTCCTCATGGTTATGTTATGTTAATTTTACGATTATTTATTGATTGCTAAAATAAAAAGAAAATTCGGACTATTTTGTACATCTGCTTGATCAATTGCAGGTGTCATTTTATGAATACATACACAGACAGCACACATGTCCAAAATTGGGACATAAGTCGTTTTTAAGATGTCTTTAAGGCGTCGGGACACAAGACATCTTTAAGTCGTCTTAAAAACATCTTCAAGACATTTTATGTCCAAATTTTGGACACATTGTGCTGTCGGGGATATTTTTATTTCTACGTATTTTACAAGAATTTTTAACGTATGTTTTCTCACTTCTGACATAAATCAAGATGACCGCGGCGAGGACGCGGGAACCTTAAAACGATCCTAATCCTTAAACAACAAACTAGAATTAACAATGACCCCATTTGGTATATATTTTTCGATGCAATGAAACTTTGTGATATTACGTCAAAATCAGATACTACACTGAAAAAATATTATTATACAATAAAAAAGTTTGTTCCTGTTAAGTCATTGTTTATTTATCTTAATGCAAATTTTGATATACAGAAGAGAAAAATAAACTCCGAAAATATTGGAATCATATCGACAATCTCATCTTGTTGTTTATAATTTCACCTTGTTTAAATGTCAAATATGAATCCGACTATGAATATCGCCCATAATGACAATCTCGTATCTAGTGAATCCAGTACACTGTCAAAACAATTTATACGTAACGCTGCTTCTCGAAGGTCAATTGAACGGCGAGCAAACATCACTTAAGAAGTCTATAATCCAACATCGCTGTTATGAAAACATATAAGGATGAGCGTAATGGAACGTACGTGTCTTTGCATAAAGCAAAGGTTAAAGATATTATCGTGAATGCGAAGTATACGAAAAAACACGATATTATTCCACACGGTGCTTCATTTAAATAGCGTGTTTTATATAATAACACGGAGCACGCGCAGAAGCTCTTCTCTATCTCTTCTCTTTAACGACCCGGAGCTTTTACTCCTTTGCAGAAGCTCTTCGATATGTTTAAATTGTATCATTTTCTCAGTATCTCAAATGTTACTTCAAGTTATTTTAACATACGATACCATCTCGATATCGCTCACATCCTCCATGAATCTTGTATATGTAGTTCGATTGACATCGCTGACTGTGAATATAGCTCATAATATAAAATAATGATAAAACTCTTAATCGCAATTATCTATGTGTAACTTTATAAAAAAACTTTATAAATATATAAATGCTGTTACATATTTCATGAATTTTATGTAACGAATTCGTTCTAAGTGTTCGTTCATATAGTATGCATCTCATTTCGAGATATTTAAACGCTCAGTTTCGTGGCAAGCGATTTACTCATTACTGTATCGATGACGTCACATTAATGATGTAACAGCTTAGGTATAAGTTAATAATGTAACAACTTATGCAATGTTTGAGAACACTTGCGTAATTCTCCATTGCGTTACTTAACATGCATATCAGCTTTTAGAATTATTTCTACCACGAATGTGGCAACAGGCATCAATAATGTCCAGCACGAGTGACGATGATGATAGTGATGATGAACACTACACTCTTAATTTTGGAATAGCCCATAATCGCATAATCGATTTCTAGAGATGAAAAAGAGCGTTACAACTTATATAACTCACAAGTTGTAACAATGTGTAAAAAACGCATCGTTACACTTGTGAGTTAGTATACAGGACAATCATACTCAGATCAATCATCAAGGTATTCATACTCAGAGCTGATCCAAGTAAAACAAAAAATTACGATGACGTAAAAATGACAAAAAAATGGCTGAAAAACTTACTTATTACTCACGATTAAATTATTTTCTCGTCATTCTGACATTATCGTGATTTTCTGTTTTGCTGGAGAATATTTAAGATCGCTGTAAGTTTATATTCAGATACAATATAGATTATTCTATTGGCTACGAAGCATCTGAAGATGAACTTAATACAATCTTAAATATAAAATTGGACTATGAACTGGACTATATACTCGATCTTGTTGATACAGTTGCCACGCGTTGTGAACGTGGGTCACCGCAAAACCAGAGTTTTGCGGCGGCATTATATTCTACCAACGACACACTTCTGTCGAAAGTTCCTTAATTCTCAATCAGCGTGTAGAAAAAGCAGCTGCACGATGAAACGAGCTGTAGTCCTCGACCGCAAACAAGACGCTGGTCGGCTGACCCACGCATCGATTACAACACATGTCGGAGCGAGACACCGAATATGGGACGAAACGAGACGGAAAACCTTTGCCAAGGTTGAGAAATCCCCTCTCGCGGCAGCTCACTAAACATAGTGCGGGATACGCATGCGCACGTTAAGTTGAGCGCGTCTGTTATGTCGTGCGTCTCTCTCGAGGTGGCCAAAAATTTCACGTCGCCGCGCAGCTTTGGCGACAATAGCGAGCATCACAGGTGCACAATCGCCGTCATCGTGATACTCCCGTCGTCAGCGGCGTGCTACCGTGCGACGAGCAAGCGTCACGGCGTTCACACGTTAGCGGAAAGAAGAGATCGGGGGCGTTTAGGCAGGCGAGCGGAACGTGGGTCTGTCACACAGGGCGTACTCACGGCTTGTCGGGCTGCGACCTGCGGACCATCTGTTCCGCTTTACGAATCTCCTCCGCCCTCGTGACGCTCTTGGTTCTGCGCGATCGCAACCGCGGCTCGCCATACTCGTACTGTGCCGACATTATGGTGATGTTGCTTGCGCGTGACGGAGTACAGGAACACGCGTGCCGGAGCGCAGGTACACGCGTGTCGTGACGCACAGCGTGCAGTGCGCCACAAGTCACACTCTGTCGGCCGTTCGTCGGCGGAACCACACACGCTCAGGTTATTAGCGCGACAGGCAGAGCTCCGCCGGCGAAAACGAGGACAATTCCGCAGCGCGCTGCTGGCACGTTGTCGCGAGTGAGAGTTGTGTGCGCGCGACGGCGGCGGCGGCGGCGGCGACGGCGACTGATACTGATAACGAGTGCGCGAGAGGCGTGTGCACGTTTAAACGATTCGGTTTCCTCGTGCTCTCCACGATGTAGTCGCGACAATACTACCGATGAAATCACGCTTTGCGAACGAGGTTTATCTATTTTTCGTTTTCCGGCAGATAACGCTCGCGGTTGTTAGACGCTCTCGGGATTGGATGGAAACGCGTGAGTCACGTGTCACGACACCTATCTAGAGAAGTTGATACAGTAGCTTGTAAATATATAACAGCCGAGAGGGGAGAGATTGAATACATAACATCAGTTTGTGATCGTAAGATGAAAACGACGTGATTATAAGACGTGATTGAGCAGTGATAATAAAAAGTTTATTACATATTAATGAAGTTTCATAGTGATGTAACTATAGATGTAATTATAGATGTAACTATAGATTATCTATCTGTACTTCATGTGGAAATGATCATTTTTAATAAAAATAAATAAATTATTATTAGATTAAAATAATGAATACAAGTAGTAGTTAAGATTATGCTATATCAAGAGAATATTGAATTTTTTTTTAATAAATTCCCCTTTCATTTTTATTATGTTTTTACTAGTGCAGGAATAAATTATAAAGTCTACCTTAAGGAACATAATAAATTTCGCTAGAAACATAGCAAATTTTTTTAATGGCACATTTTAATCACTAAGTTTCCCTAAATTATTAATGCTAATTCCGTTACAAATAACAAATTATTCTTGTCACAATTTACATTCATGCAATTTTTTTCAAAGTTGGTAAATTTTTAAGGATTCTGTTGCGTCTGTTGCAATATATTCATTTACTTAATTGCACATTATTGTTTTTATTTTGTTTTTTTTCGTTTTTATTTTTTCTGGGTATCTATTTTTTATTTTTTTCTGCGTTTTCTGCGTAAAAATATGTTTGTTTGAATTTTAGATGCAACACGTATATGTTACATATATTATGAATGAGAGTTACATTCTCATAAATAAATAAATAAATAAGTTCCTAAAATATAACTAGCAGATATACAATGAAAAAATAGTAAATTACTGCAGAATGTCAATCTATTTCTACAAAATTCTATAGTAATTTTTACAATAAAATTCCTTTTATATAATCAGTTAAACATATAATAAGGTCAAAGTCAAAAGTGTAATTTTCTCTAATCTCAGTTTTACAGTTTTTTAGATAACGTCACGGTTATCAACTGAAATAAATGCAGATTATACAAACTGCCGATTGGTGGCCTAATAGCCGACCTAGTAGCCTTAATAACTAAGTCTCCCACTTATCTCGACTGCAAATGTAAGCTAACGCTGCGAAATATAATATAGTAACGTGGACAGTAACGTATTACATTTTCAGCAAATCATCTGACACTTATTTCGTACTACGATCCAGTTACGTTCATTCTGGTCGGTGACTCTTCGATATCACTACTAAATCAAACATTCAACCATGTCACATTTCAAGCGATAAAGTTCCATCAACAGCGAGGCAATCACCGTGTCATCACTTCCATTAAGATACCAGATAACGTAGCGCCGTCACTTCATCGCGGAACTCCGATTTCGAGTAACTCCGTGGAAGGTTCAAAGTTCAAAGCAAATAAAGCTCAAGCCCCAGACACGTGAGACAATTTCACGATTGTTCACTAAAATCGGTCGCTGGGAGGTTGAAAGGTATCGTTAACCAGACGAGACGAGAAACCGAGCTAATTAAAGTACACATGGCGCAGGTCGCTGAAAGCCGTAAAGATCCTTGGAAAATGTATGGGGGATCTACCCTCGTAGATTGCGAGCTTACGGAGCGGTGACGCGTATGAGTTTCCACGATCCGCTATTATACGGGAACGTGATGTGCTGCGAACTGTTTAGGCCGACTTTCCTCCGGAGGGAATCGAAATTTCGCGTCCTTGGAAAAAACGTACATAGGATATCCTGTATTTCATACATTCCTTTTTCCGGTATGTTATTCTTTCGCGAAAATGAAAATGCTCACAAATATTGGATGGTATTTCAATATAAACAGCGCCATATACACATATAACAAGGAATTATTAAGTTATGCCGAATCCCGTGCGGCTGAGATTTCCAATCCCCGAGAAACAGCGCTCAGGCTAAGAAGTCCATTGTATATTGGGAGTACAAATTAGGTCGGTCCGTTTTTTTGTAGTCAAAAATGCATTTATTTCAGAACAAAATGAATGAACAGATTAATCAAAGTATTGTCCATCGCTGGCTACTACTTTTTCCCACCTTTCAGGCAATTTTCGAATTCCATCTCGAAAAAATGTCTCGTCTTTTGAGGCGATCCAAGTTAGGAGCCAATTTTCGATTTCTGCGTAAGAAGTGAACCGGTGATCTGCCAAATCGTGCTGCATCCGTCGGAACAACCAGTAATCAGAAGGAGCAATGTCCGGCGAATACGGCGGGTGCGGTAAAATATCCCACTTGAGCGTTTCCAAATAATTTTTTACGACTTTTGCGACATGAGGCCGAGCGTTATCATGCAGAAGAATAACTTTGTCATGTCTTTGCTCGTATTCCGGCCGTTTTTCTCGTAATGCACGGCTCAAACGAATCAACTCCCAATGATTCTACAAGCTCTTCTTGCGTTTGACTCGGATCTTCGCATCGAGTAATGCCTCCAATTCTTTGTCTTCGAATTTTTTTGGCTGTCCAGAGCGAAGCTTGTCTTCAACGCTGATATCATCATTCTTGAAACGTCGAAACCATTCCCTACATGATTTATCAGTTGGAGCATTGTCACCATAAACTTCTACAAGCATTCGATGCGCTTCAGCTGCACTTTTCTTCCAATTAAAGCAGAAAACTAAAACCTCCCGCAAATGCTGCTTAGTTAACACAAAATTTGACATATTCAACACAGTAAAAAACAGGGGTTTTGTATGAAACTCAAAGCGATATAAACTGAATATTATTGACAGATGTCTAACCTCTCTGAAACCACCGAAATCAGCTGTCACTATGAAACATTCATAACAGGCAGAGCCATTTTTTGAAAATGGACCGAACTAATTTGTACTCCCAATAGTAGAGATAAAATAAATAATATAGTACTTGTCATTGTGACGTAGATTAACATTATAATATGACTATAAATTTAATTAATTATTATAAGATTAACATTACGAGAGGACTATAAGTAGATAAATAGAGATAGATAGATAAGTTGACTACTCAACTGTAATTTATGCAGAACTCCCTCAGGCACACATACAATCGGCTGACTAAAAGTTACAACAGTTTTTTCCAATGAGTTTCGTAACGCAATAGAAACTCGCAATAGAAGGAACTTGTTTTTTAATTAATTTTCAGGAGATACATTTTTCTGTTGGAGGCGGAATACGTTGCGAAACTCATCGAAGAAAAGTGTTGCAACCTTTGATCAACCGACCGTACACGCATCGAGGTAGTCAAAGATGTTAAAAATTTTTAAATAAAAACACACAGTTATATGAATTTATCAATTTATCTTCCGATATTTTATAACTCGATCAACTGCGTATACTTTTGTGTTTACCGGACCTAGTTTCCACGAAGTTGTAGAACAAATACTAATCCTGCATCGAACTTTAGTATTCGAGTAGTATACCACAAAGCATGAAGCAAACATTCGCTCGTCAGTAAGCTACTTGGCGTAATCCTCATGTACGGAAAAACAGAATAGTCGCATATTTACTCGTACCCTCGGTAAACTCAGCTCAAGAACTCGCAGTTGAAAATCGCATTTCTCGAAACCTCAAGGGAGCAGATTGGCACGTACCGGCAGTACAATCTAGCTTACTATTCCGTTCCGTGCCACTGGCGGTCATCAAAGTTCAAGATTATTGTAAAATGTAAACTATATTGCAGATGCGAACACCATTTCCCTTCTCGTAAGTGTGCGCCGTATCCAAGAATCGTTTCAGACTGACTCTAAACCTCCTTTCCTATGGCCAGTATTACTCTTACTGTGAAATTATCGCTTTGTTGTGGCAACACGTCTGTTTATATTTATAAATCCAGCCATACACTTTCAGGCTGACATATCTCAATGCTTACGATCTCGAGTCTGTCTATCGCGTTCACGTAAAATTAAACTACACACGTAATACGAGAACGACTCTTTCCCGTTGGAAAATCCATCGAACATCAGACAGACTGGCAACAATAAATCGAAACATAAATTGCACCAACAACCCACGAACTGAAAGTCTTGACGGTATGCTGAATATGTACTGCACTTGATCAGAAATACGATCGCGACGACACTTCCGCCGATAGTGCAATTCGCAAAGTGTGAAGCACGCAGAATCGAGCCGACCACATGCTCGTCGCGAGTATATCGCGTACAATTTCGAGCGGGCGCCGGGATCACCTCAGCCACGAAACCGGAAGCAGACGGATCGGCACGTAGTAAACGCTACACGTCGCAGTCTATACTCGTTCGCCAGCGCGAACTCGCGCATTCCGCGCGCGCGGTCGTTGCGACGGTAGGGAAAATGCGGTGGGAGGAAAAGCATGCAAGTCGTTTGTGAACTCCCTTTACGGGCAACCGCGGGTATTACCGGGCACTACGGCGGACGCGCTACGTCACATACGCAGTTACACGTCGCCGAGTAACTCGCAGACATCTGCCGAGCCAACGCCGGAAGTTTGGGGGATTTGGTAGCGCCGCGCCGCTCTGCACCCATCCGGCCACCTTTTAACGGGCGTTTTAGGATGCCCGTGGAATGGGATATTCCGCGTTGGTATCCGGGGGCTCATCAGAATCCATCATTTACGGCCGAATTTCGAGCACCGTGGGCGACCCTGCACGCGCACGTTGCTTTATGTGTCGCACGAGACCGCCGGAATTTTATTATTCAGCGATGACTCTTCCGGTGGCAGCTCTATCCTGCTTGTATTGGAACTGCTACTGCGTAATATGTGAGTACCCCAAGTACGTGGGGTTCGAAGCAAGTGAAACAACCGGTAAGGTCTATCTTAAGAGTGCATCAAGTTACTTAACTTTCGTAGGCTTACATCTCGCGAATTTCTCGAATATAATATCACTCGCACCGCTCGACGAATATTTTACTGTACGAAAGATTTCGTCGTAATTTCACGATTTTGCTCGACATTTCTTTAAATGACGCGGAACACAGTTGAAACCGGAGATCGCGTAGCCGGGGACAAAAAAAATCGTACGAGAAGATATTAAATCGCGCGCGCACCCCGTCCGTAACAATACTTGCGGATGCAAAAGTTTGAGCCAGCCGGCGAACAGTCGATTAAACAATACGAGCATGCGGACAGTTAACCTACCTGTAAAAGCGGTTGTAGAAATTCGCTTTCCCGAAGTTAAAATTTCACGTTGATAACATCTCGTACAACGTAAAAGAAAAAAAAAAAATAGAAAAAGAAGGATAGAAAAATTTGCAACTGGCACCTTATATAAGCCAGAGTAAAAGTTTTGGTCTTTAAATATCGCGTTATAACATAATGTTTGGAAAACAATCCAAATAAACTTTCATAATCATTACGACGTAAAACAATCGATGATGGAAACTATACAATTTTTTAATTACATTTTTTAGGCAAAGATATTGTATCGAATTAATCACTAAATTTACATTGTATAATAATGTTAATCTTTTGTTACATTGACAAATTTATTAAAAATCGCACTCAGATTTTTATATCACATTTTATGACATGTCGTTTTGAGCAAATTTTGGTAATTTTTTCGCGTACTCCTATTTCGCCGTTCGATGTGACAAATACGGGCGCCATATAAACCACTCACCAGGGGACGCAACCTTTACAAATTGACCAATAAATTTGCTGTCAAATTTACGTACACCTGTGTATCTGGGGAATTACGTAATTATAACGTGAGACAATCGATAATGGAGATTTTACAATTGTTTAATTATATTTATGAATCCTATATATATTGCACTAAATTGATCATTAAATTTATATCACACACACACATACAATAATGTTAATCTTCTGTTGCATTGGCGCAGCGATGAATTTTCTAAAAGTTGCATTCAGATTTTACATTTTTAGACGCTACATTTTACACGTCATATTTTTTATCATTTTTTTCGTATTTTTGTTTTCTCATCCTATGCGATAAATACGAGTATGTGTGTGTGTGTGTGTGTGTGTGTGTGTGTGTGTGTGTGTGTGTGTGTGTGTGTGTGTATGTCTGTCATAAAAGCTATTCGTGCAAACTCTCTGTGCAACCAGATGCAAACAGATCGACTAATAAAGTTGCTGCTAAATTTACGTCTTTGTCTATCTGGACACGGTTATCCGACTCTCTTATAACACTAATACGATCTGGAAATTCGCTTCAAAGAAATTCTAGCAGTCATAAAGAACAAGAGAGAAATTGCATCACCGGTAAACTCGGTACTTTTTGCTGGAGGGTGATGCACGTTTCGTTAAACCACAGTGGAAAGGTGTTACGACGGGCTATAGCGTTGGCTCGTTGCCGCGAGCTACAGCGACTATGGGAAAACGGTTGTCCACGCCGTCAGCGTTGCACTTCCTCGAACGTCTTTCCGTTATCTGCACCCTAAGCGGCCCGTTAAATGACTTTAACGAGTCGCGGAAAGGTCGATCGAGCGTCAACGCGCGGCTGTTTCGAGGATTTACAACCGATTGCACGCGCAAACTCACGTGTATATCTCGTCAGGTTACTTCCATGAAAGGACTTACGGGCAAGAAGGAGACCGCCGCCGCCTGGGGCCCGATATAATCCTGCGGTTTACAGATCGGTCGTAATGATTGGCCGATATAATGCGCGAAATCGGTCGCGTAAATTTCCGCGGTGTGAGCACGCGACATTGCATCGTCAGGAAAATCGATTCGCGCGCGGTTATGGCTTCCGCTAAATGAAAGTTTCATGAATGGTTGGTGAGCGCCTCTGATAATTTTACTGCGGCCCGTTTGACGCAAGTTCGACATGTCGCCCTTTCAAATGGCGCAACGGCGAATATTTAAGACCCCGTTCGTTTATGGTGATCGATCTCCTATGGCGCTTTCACACGTCTCTCATTTTTATTACGGAATAAAATATAGGAAGGACGAAGATCGGCAGACGGAAATTGATCATAATGGCGCGTCGTAACTAAAAATACTTGGCCGCATTGCTGATTAATGCTGCAGGGAACTACGTAATCCATCTTCATTTTTTTAATTTCGGACCCGCCGAGTATTACGATTCCGACGCCGTGAGTTTCAAGAGCGAGAAACTTCGGACTCGCCGCCGCGATAGAGAGCGTATTGTGGCATAAATAATTCGCGAAGTTCGCAAAACTGCGCACCTTCCAGCTTTATCCGATGACAGATACGACTTGAGCACAGAACATTTAAAAAAATATATGATTGTCGTCTAGCTGCGAGAGAGCGGAGTGCAGCTCGCTCCTAAAATATGATGTGATATATCCCCGTGTAAAAATGACCCGTATCCGTCAATGTCGGGACGTCTAGTGACTTTTGCGGAACATCGAGTTGCATTCCTTATTGTCTCGTGATCGTGTGTCAGTCTTCCTGCGGAAGGGACCGACGGGCTGAACTTTAACAGTCCAAGAGCAAGCTCGGAAACTTTCGCAATACTGGTCGGACCGCCACCATCCTGGGATTATTGCCCCCTTGTCCTGTAAACCACCCTCGAGCGGATTCAGTCAGCGGTATCCACACTTCGTATTCAGGCACCGTACACAGAAACGACGTGATATCATCGCTTGCCCGCAGCAGGGACATTCTCGGGATCACGAGCTGCGATTAGTACGCTGGCAATTAAACTGGCATAATCACGAGCGCGCAAAATACCGGTGCTTTGCGCTAAATGTCTGCAATTCGTTATAATATCGTTCGTTTTCTTTTCTTCTTTTTTTTTTTTTGTTTTCTTCGTACGCTGTATTCTGCGCCGATAATTTTTCTGATTTCATTCTCGTTTCGACTCCGTGCGTGACGATAATTATACTCTCCTGGAGACGGAGAGGGTATCAAAGGATGCACAGTAAAAACAACGCGTATATATTTTACGAGACATTTTGGACGCATTCTTCGCAACATTTGGATAAGAATAACAAATGCTTGTCATTTAAACAAGATACAAGAAGAAATGAAAGGAGCAAGAACAATAACGTTAATATTAGGCAGAATTCGTGCTTTGATAGAAAAGTAGAAAGGCAAAAGCCAATCGCGCTGGTACAAAACTGTCGATTACTACCTGACCACCAGCGTAATTAACTTCTGTCTTTTTGTTTTCTACTTTTCTGTCAAGGTGTGAATTTTTCTTTAGACTTAAGGCTCCTGAATATTCGTCGTGAAACTCTTGATTAATAACATCAGAAAGGAGAAAATGCATCCCCAGGATTTCTATAAAGTACATCAAAATAAAATAATATATCCAAAATATGACACTTGCGATCAGTTTAGCAAACCTCTAAAATACTCTAAACACTTCCCTTCTACTCCAATAATCAACACAAATAACCTTAACAAAATTAATATGCAAATTAATATGCTCCCTCTTTAACTTACTTTTTTCTATAATTTTGTTCTGATAATAATCATGTAATGAGCTTATTAACGGAACTTCAAAGTGAGTGACAAACTCGAAAAATGTCGATAACGTAGAGACGATCGTCAGTAACACAATCACGCTATACTTTTCGTATTTCTTGTATATATAGATCTTACATAAATATATGCTGCTCTGTTTTACTATATTTATACTATACTTACTGTTTTACTATATTATTAGTGGAAAACATATCCACGCATGTACATAGAAATCTGTTTGCAAACTTTTTATATATTTTTAACTTTATACATTTCTAAATTTCAGTTGTAAAGGTGCAGCAACGTTATTTGAAATCTGAAATAAAGCAGGACAAATACACATTCACTATGTATGTAAGGTCGGTGCAATGAAATGGTCTGGTTCCGGTGGTTACACGGGTGCAGAACAGCAACTTCCAAATTGTGCAACGTACATTTCACCTGAGTGAATGTAGGGACCGAGCGGGAAGTACAATAATCCATACAAGTGGTAACCAATATTAATATTAAATTGCACTGTATCATATGTGGTATGATTTAAGAAAAAAAATTAATATTGAAAATTAAAATATTATAAAATGTTATAAAACAAAGTATTTTTCTTTGAAAAGTAATTTATAGATAATTTGTAAATGATTGATATATGTAAATATTTGTTAAGGTATTTTACATAATATATGAAAATTAAATAACAAAATATATTTAAGAAAGTTCTATGTTTTATAGTTGTGTTTGTTTTCGTACTGAAAACATTCCCGAACAAAATTGTATCTAGTAGAATAGATTTCAAGACTAGTTGCTAGATAGTAATGACTAGATTATTTTTCTAGCCAGTCACTAGCTCGTGATTGGCTAAATATTCCTACTCTTTTGAATGTCAGGACTATCTAATAACTATACCAATTACATAGATAGTGGCTAGATAAAAAAGATTACACAGTAACGAGATAGAAAATCATCGGTAAATCCTGAATATAAATTGGGTATCAGAACTGTCTAGTACTTATATCAATTATAGTTACAAGTTATTTTTTTGTATCCAGCTACTAAATAATTTTTCTGGTACAGCCACTAGAAGAAGTGAGTGTTACATTCCTAGCTAGTAGCGATGTAAGACCGAACTTTTCTGTACCATTATTAGACAATCACTAGATTCAATTTCTGCTCGGGTCATTCTATATGTTTCGGTATATAATGAATAACATAGATAGAACGCTATTTTACAGTACGAAAGCATGCAAACTGAACGCAGTAAAAAAACGTATAATTTTTTGCGATATATTTTTTATTTTTATTTAATGATTACATATTACAAGATATTTCAACAAATATTTATATTATTACAAATTATTTAAATTATTAAATATTATTTAAATTATTTACAAATTATTTACAAATAAAAATATTTTGTTCTAGAACATATAATATTTCAATTTTCAATTTTTTTTTTCAATACGTTAACTTGTGCAATGCTATGTATATTATTCGCATATATTCAGAAACAATAAATCGACGTAAAATGTATAATCGATGTATTAGATGCGTAAAATATACGTATAAATTATGTACGACGTTTATACTTGTGCCATTTTTATGCGACCGATTACCGCCGATATTGATCACTGTATATGTAGTCTGTAGACTACTCTGGTGAAATACGCGCTGGTAGTCTGAAAGTTGGCTGCGCTACTCTGCACCTGTCCAGATCGGATCATTTCATCGCATCCGACTGTATAAGCTACAGAACTTTTACAAATACTTAGGCTATGTAGACAACTCAAGATGTCAATTTTGGAACTTTTTATTATTTTCGTAACATGTTCAGTGCTCCAATTCGTTTTTGCATGTACACAAGATCCCATTAATGCTATCTCATTCCCTAATGATATTGGAAATTTTCAGTCATATATACAAACACATTATGTTATATAAATATTCGTATATCATGACTGCTGCTTAATTACCGATTTTTTAAATAATCAACAATTTTCATGTACGAATATTTATAATATAACATGTCTGTGATTAAAAATTTCAAATATCACTATGCTAGGAAATGAGACAGCATAAATGGAATACTTTTATTGCGTAAAAGCAATTCAGGACAACCAATATCGCTTAAAATTTGCCGGGAAATGTCAATATTTTAAGTTTTTAAGTATAGATGACATTTATATATCCATACATCCCCTAAAATATATCGGTTTAAACACATTTTTTCCGAAGTTGGGTCATTGTTGCCCAGCACTTACGTGTTGCATAATAATCAATTATGATAGGAGTCAAAATAACAATATATGATATAAGTATTGGCTCTATACTGTACATTTTTATCTATTAGATAAGAATAAAGAGTTACTTACATTTATCTTAAATCCTTTGTTGTAGTTGTGACGCCGGGTGTCTCATAAATCGTCTCTTCAGCTGCTGTCAGATTCCCGTGCAGATTCGTAAATAATCGCAATCATAACTATTCCGTGCAGGCCAATGATGCTAGAATAGAGATGCGGGCCCGTCTACATTATGGTGGAGGAGATAACACAATCGAGAATCGTGTACATGTACGCTTCGACTAATTTCGGATAATAGAAGAGAACATGTTGTTCCTTTTTTCTGTTTCGTTTTTACCAAGTTGGCAACAAAGGCCGCGTTGCTTGCTTCTTATCACATGCGACAGCTTTAAACGTTTCTCCTTGTAACACACGCTTGTAACACGCGACCTGTAACACACGCTTTAAATGTTTCTACTTGTAACACACGCTTGTAATACTTGCGACTTGTAACGCGGTGATTTTCAATCTATCTTTCATGTCAAACGAGAGAGAGAGAGAGAGAGAGAGAGAGAGAGAGAGAGAGAGAGAGAGAAATCCTTGAATCTCCATTATTAATATCATTCTCGCATATAATTTACATTAGTTACGACATATATATCGTTAGATAAATGTATGTGTGTACCGAAAAAAACAATTACGCGCTGTCGCGCGTAATCAGAAACAAATAACGCAACTTTTGTTGTCAGTTCAATAAAAATAAAAGGAAACAGTATCTATATTTTTTTACTATCTAAAGTTAGCCACAATGTCCTTAGAAAACAGAATCTGGCTACTTGCTTCTTCAAAATGATGTATTTGTGTAGTGAAAATGACTCGAACCGACAAAATGTTGCAAATATCAAGTAAAACGTGCTTCAAGCGCAGAACGCATAGTACGTATACATTCGTGGTCGGAAAAGTTGTCTGGTTTTTTTAAGTTCCAGAAACTATCCGTTTTGTGCAGTGAGAAAGCTCTTTGAAAATTGAAAAGTAAATTCTCCCATTGGACAAGAGAAAAGGATAGATTTCTAAACTTACAAAGAAAACAAGAAAAAAAACCAGACAACTTTTCCAACCATGAATGTACACAATTCTCGGTGTGTATTATCTTCTCCACTACGATGTGGACAGGATTGCGTTCCCAGGACAGGACTGACATTACTCGTGCAAGCTCGCAATCATGACCATTTGATGCGTGTCCAACTTCATTAGAAACGTGTACAATCCGTATTGCAAACGAATGTACAGACGCCGGACATCGACACTTCGAAATGATACGGTAAACATACGCTTCTCCGCGAGCGGACGTGAAAAACCGCCGGAGGCGATCACGATTGGGCGTTGCTAGTCGACTAATTTATTTAGTAGCGCAAAAGGGACGCGGATTCTCTGCAACGTCGCCATTGTATCGGCAGGTTTTCGCTTTGAAATATCACCGGCGTGCTGGTGGGCTGTCCAGCAGTCCTCCAGGCAGACTCCCACGGGCTCGAATTAATTTCACGGGGAAACAAACGGCGACGTATACGTTGGAGTTAGGGCGACCAGATGTTCCAGTTTATCGGGACACGTCGCCGGCTGTCCCATTATTTACCGTCGTATACTTCGGCTACTTAAACGGGATTTAATTAATGAATGGCGCGTCGGGAACCGGCGAGCCCGGGCTTCCATGGATTTGTTTATGTGTGTCCTATCGGCTTTTTGCCGCCGGCCGAAGGAAGCGTTGCCGTCCATGGAGGTCCGTAGAGGTGTTAAGGCCCATATACATTAATCGCAATATCGGCTGCGATGCTCACCGCAACTAAGGTCGCAAGCTCATGACGTAAACTTGCTGATTTCAAATTTGCAAACATGAATTTTCAGTGAATTTTCTTCTCTTCTTTTGAAGTGAAAGTCACAAAAGTGAGTGTCTGACTAAACAAAAGTTGATTAGTGATAGTCACAAAAATTACAATGGCTAAATGATAGCAATAGATTCACATGAATGTTAAAGCTATGAAGTTACGAATATATCAATATAAGCCGAAGTTACTGCCATTTGCGACCTGCAGGGGTTCACAGAGTGTGAGAAAGGTATCGACCTCTTGAGGACCAAGACAAAAACTTAACTGAAAGATACTGAGGGCTTGAAACCACATATCCATTTGCCAATGTTATTAAACAAAATTAAACAAAACAAATACTACTTGGGAAAAGTACCCCTTGTCATTCTCGGGTTAACGATATATTTTGCTAATCTTTAATAGAAGTCTCTTATAGTATCGTTATCATTAAGGTTCATATTAATGTTTGAAGAGCTTTTGCCTAATCGAATTCCTAGTAAGATTTCTAAATAGCTTTCAGCAAGTTTCCGCTTTTCTCCAGTGTGTGTCAACCAGTTCAATTTAAATTTTGCATATAACAACTGGCAATAATTTTTTCTTTCGAACGCAGTGAAAAATCTAAAATAAAATACTAAGTCAATAAAATTATATCAAGTTTTCTCTTCGTTATCAGAATAAATAAATGAATATTGTTTCTTTATTTGAAATGAACAAACATATATTAAGCAAATTAGCAAATGACCTTTAATTTAAACTATAGTTACGATCAATGAATAACAATCTATAAGTCTGTAAATCTGTGACAGTATTTTCTGAGATTCTTAGAGAAATGTATTATAAAGTAACCATTACTTTTGTTACTTTACCAAAAAAAATGTAAAATGTAGCATTACTATTTTCATCACAGATGGAGAAAAACAGCGCCATTACCAAGTTATTGTCGACAAAAAGTAACTGTAACGGCAACGACGTTACAAGTAATGCGTTACTTCCCAACCCCGCTTTACGCATCACGCGATGAATCTCGTAATGTTCCCGATTCTTTAGCACACAGTACGAGATAATGATACTATACTACCGTCGGCTGGAGTTTACAAAAAATACACGGCCTCCGGCCGTGATGTCTCGCCAAACTTTTCGCATTGGCACGAAATACGGTCGCCGATACGGTGAGCGAATTTCGCTCACCGGTTTATTACGCGCCGCAATGTCGCGTCGTGCATTATTCTCGTTAAATGAATTCTTTTGTGGCTCTATACGAAAATTTCTGTAAAGATCCCTTTCGTCGCGAAATAATTGGCGGATTCGATGCATATGCGGCTGCATTATTAATGCCGTAAGAAACTTACTCTAAGCGGCCGTAAAGGTTATTGCTTTTAAAATGTCGCATGCGCTGCACATAAAGGTAACAACGAGGGTATCTGCGTGCTGGTGTATGAGTATTAGCGAAAGACCGGTGTACGTGCACATTCTTTATTAATGCTTTACGTGAAACTTTCTGATGGCTGAATTCAGAAAAGATCTCTACAAGAGATACTTCAGATGCTTCGTAATGAAAGCACGTTACACAGCGTTTTCAATAACCCCGTTATAAGCATAACAAGTATTCCACTGCGCGATACATTTTAACCTTTAGAGGGCCGGCATTTAAAGTACCAGATTCCACGAAGAAAATCGATAAAAAATGTATCTTATATCGTATATTCATCGTATACAAAGTATCGATTACGGAGACCACTACTTAAGTGGTGGACCCGGCCCTGGGAGGTAAAGACAATGTTAAAATTTTGAAATTTGAAAAAATAGGTTTCTAGAGGTTTTCGAGATCGCTGAATAAGATGGAACTGTTAGTTTTTGTAAATTATGAGAATTTATAGTTATATCGTTATATAGTTATATAAGAAAAAAATAGCAAATAGAGGGAAGGGGAGAGGGATAGGGGAGGACAGTGGGTGTAAACTTGTATCTGGATGTGTGAATATCTGTACACATATAAGTAGATAAGTGTAGAACATGAATGCAACTAACTGTTGTCTACCACTATAGTGGTTTTCCGGCTCTCTAAAGGTTAACGATTAATCCTTTTTCGCTTCATTCATCTGTTGAGCAGAAATTATCGAAACGTTTCACGGCGACTCGTATATGAACTCGCAACCGCGCGTCTCCGGACGCTCCATAATTCAGTCAGCCGTAGACCGTTAGCAGATACGTAGGACGTTATCGCAAATCCACTCCGGATGCAGTCTGCGCGATCTGTATTCAGGTCAGGGCCTAAAAATCAGTCAATGACGCAAGATAATCCATCGTTAGATGGGAGCAGAAGGAAATCGGCCGTTTCCAAGCCTGACGCAGGCTTAAGGATCGCATCCAGGGTTAAGGGGCTTGCCCGGAGTCTGAGAGCCAAGGAGGGTGCGGTCGCTTGCAGCATGATCCTCCCTAAGCCGAGGCTAAGAGGCTATTAGTTAGCTCTGCTAGCTGCGACATAACCCCTAAGACTAACACGGTACTTACACCTTCCTGCCTCGTCGAGATCGCGGGATATTCAGCCAGCCAGCCAGCCAGCTCTTCACGTATGTTTGCATGGCGGTTGTCTGCGCTGATGGTGATTCTTGAATACGATTAATAGCAAGGAATGAATATCAAACAAAGTACCCGCGTCCGCAGCGCGAAAATTGAATTTCCACCGAGATAGCAAAGTGTACGTGAGAGCACAGTGTAAATAATACGTAGCTATTGTCTGTGTGTGTGTGTGTGTGTGTGTGTGTGCATGTGTGTGGGAGCATGTAAAACGGAAGAGATTGAATGTGAGGGGCATGTCGCGCAAATATTAAAGGATAATAGGCATTAGAGGTAAAATGCGTGGCTGTGATACGTAACAAGTGATACGTTTACAAGCATAAAGATCCAGCTTTATTATTGGCGTAACGTCGCACGGACGTCACACACGCGAAAAGTTGTACATTCTGAAGTGAAGACATTTACGTAATTGTCGATCTTGTAAAATCTCCGAGAAATTTCGAAAGTTCTCGAAGGTAAACTACAATCGATTTCCTACTTTTCTCAGTTCTGGTCACTTTGTACTTTATCCACACGTGCATGCGCGCGCGATATGGGCTACTTAATTTTATTTAGAATCATTTGTACTCTTCATAGAGGCAGATAAAGTGAAGCATCAACCATAATGACACGCTAAAACACACACTTTCTCTCTCTCTCTCTCTCTCTCTCTCTCTCTCTCTCTCTCTCTCTCTGTATGCATAATTTATTTAGTTACGTCTAACAATGACTATATTATGTTATAGAAATCTTCATTAACCCGGCGGCAACAATTTGCCGCCGAATATTTTCCTCTTTTTTTCATTTTATTGCACATCCCAGCGGTAAGCTGACGAAAAATGTGCAGTTTTACGGAAGCCGGAGCGCAGTACAGTCGGAGATACGCGTGTGTGTTTTGCAAACCCGATCCACCGTTTCGTCAAAGTAAAACCCAAATGGCGCAAAATAAAGGGCGGAAATGGGTCGCTCGCGTGCCGGTGCGAATGGATGCGCATTAATTAAATTAATGGGTAGCCGTAGCCGCCAGCAATGGCGGGTCATTGCAGTCACGACCGTGGCCTATAGACCGTACAGAACGATACGGCACCATCCGAATACGCACGTACGTATCTCTTCGTTATTGTACTTTATTGTTTCGTTCCTACCCGTTTGCCGTTTCCAAAGAGAAACGACACGCGACGCCGTTTGTCCTAATGTGAATCGCGTAAGCGTACTCCAAGGACTCGCGCAGATCGTTGGGATGTATCGAATACCGCGCTTGTGCTCTGCTCTAGCGCTAAATCCTGGTTATATATTGTTGTTTTTTTGTCGAGCGCACTAGAATATTATAGAGGCGGAAGTAGAGTGAGAGAAAATCAATGAAACGTCAGCCCTTATATGGAAAACAGCAGAATACTTTAAATTATTATTGAAAATTATATTCATATATTTTTTACATCGTATTTCACAACATTTGTTTCTTTACACGGTATTATAAAAAGTTATCAGTACAATGATACAATGACAGTCTGACACTGTCGTCGTCTCGTCCGACGAATTGTTGAACTGTGTGGGCGGTGTCGCATTAGTTTCGACGTGACAAGCAAACATAATCGATGTGTATCGTATCTGTCGATTGTTCGCACGTATGACGATAAATTTTCGAGTGCATGTTCTCGGAGGTACTTTCCGGGGCACGTTTAACAAGAGTGCGAGCGAATCGTGGCGGCCCGATAACAGGCAAGCACGGGATACGTTAAATTCCGAAACAAGTGCGATCGTAAAAGTTGCTAACTTCGAGCCGGTTTCGACGCGCGCGGGGGAAGGAGGTGGCGCGCAGGAGAGCGGGGAGACGGGCGGGGGGGCGGGGGACAAGATGACGGCGGCGAAATCGGCACTAAATATGAATCATAAAAGAAGCGTAAAGATAATTGTATGCTAATAGGGCGAGCGTATGCGCCGCGTCGTCCGCGACGGCTCAACGTCTCCCGTTATTATCTATGTATCTGCTTTACGGTGAACACCTATCTGCCTCGCATAGCCGACGCGATACAACGCCGACACGCATTGGCCAATTTCGTGTGTGATCAACTTTGTCGCGCAGCTACACCTACCAGTGCGTCCAGAGAACACACATACTGATATTATTAACTAGAAGATCACTCGGTCTTCGTTCGCCGCCGTTCGCTGATGCTCCTCACGTTTAGCAATGATTTGCAGTGTCACGTCGCCATTATCTACGCGGTTTTATGATGTAGAGACTTGAACACGTAAAGTCAGGGGGGAGGGGTGGGGGAGGACAATATAATTTTAATAGTTGTGTGTCGTGCTTCGAAATGGCTTCGTCGTTTTTCACGCAGATAACCGCGCACCGAGGGTCGTTCGAGCGTCACGCTCCAATTCGATGTCCCGATCTCACGTCGTCGTGTACGGGGAAAAAATTGGTTCAATCAATCTGAATTCAGGACACATTAACCAGACAGTTTGGTGAGAAATGAATGAGTCATAATTTTGGCGACCGGGCAAATTTGGTTACATGCGTTCTGGTTGAAGTAACCAGCGCAGCTATTCTGCACAAATGGTTGCATCGACATACTGATTAGCATGACGGGTAGCGTACCCGGACACAGACTCAGCTCGAACTTGACGATATACATGTTTGCAGATGACACTCATTTTTGCCATTAAAAAATATATGAAAGTGTTACAAATCATTTGAACTATCATGGTGACTTCTAGGAGAATGGTAGTAGTGAGAAAGAAAAGCTCTATGATCGAAATGACGAAGTACACTGCTGCAACTTCTCTCTCACTCACTTCCTCCCTACAAATGGTAGACGATGTCCTTAACTAAGACTTGAGGAAATAATATTATAGTAGTGACAGTTGTCAGAAGAAGATATAACAAAATAGCAGCCCAGACAAGAGTTTGGTTACAACATAATACTTCAACATTTCCCACTAGAAACTTTATTATTTCTTCAATTGAAAGTTGTTTTTAAGGTGTTAAGTACGACATTACTTTGTTTCAAAGTTAATCATTTAATTGATTTGATGTTATATATATATAACTGAACTTGAAAAACTCGCCCCTTTTGTCCAGCTGAGACTCAAACCCGAGCCGACGGATTGTGAGTCGCCCGTCTACGCACTACGCCATCTGACAGGTCATATATTGTATATCTATGTTGTAAGTAGCGTTGAATATCAGATTAGTTGATTATAATAACCAGTAATTTTATTCAATTCTATCAGCAGTCGTTTAACTAAACTGTTGGATATTATTACATGCAGTAACCAAACTCTTGGATGTTATTGCACGCAGTAACCAACTCTGACCAGTATTACAACTACCTTACTAGAATATTTCATTATTATAACCCGAAAGTCTATTTGTCTTCAGCAAAACTTGCTCAACCAAATATGTCATGTTAATTCAAGCGGGCTCATTTTTTCCGTGTGTGTACGCAAACGCCGAAATGAAGTTCGTTCGCTATTATTTCCCGGTGTTAAAGAGATTCTCGCGATCATATTAAATTTTATTAAATTCGAGGGCTTCTTCTTATCCTTCGTCGGCTCTCGCAGTGTGCATTTTTCTTTGAGTTTTTGATAGGGAACAGCCAGCGGAGGAACTAATATACAGAAGCAATTTTTACGATGTAATATCGCAGACGTTCTGTACGTCGTAATAATGCACCGCCCCGCCTGTAATACTTTAGAGAAGCATGGCACGATCTCTTTGAAGCTCGCAAAACTTTAAATCTTTAAACAGTGTACGCGAACTCATTAAAAGTTCTTTCCCAGAAAGGATAAAACGGGATGTATTGACGAAGTTGGTTTAGAAATACACAGAGTTTGCGAACATCGGGTGCTAGTTTGCGGCCGATTCTCTTTATCTACTGACGCGAGTAAAATAGCAGCTTGACGGCCGGATAATCCTCCTGCGCGAAATTATTCCACGCTGAGGTGGACTGCACGGCTCGCTTTCTAATTAACCAAAATACACGGTCGTACAGGCGAAAACAATGTGTTCGATCCGCTCCGAGAGTAATCCTTCGCCGACAATGCACTTTCCCTGCTGGAAACTACCGAATTAAATATCACGTCGTGCGTTTTATTTGCCGTACAAGCGGCAGAGTTTTCCACCGCTGTCGAGCGATAACGGCCGAGGCACGCGAAAGTGCGTCCTCGAAACTTTAAGAACGTCCGACGGAAATAAAGCAGCCGTTAGAAGTTTGCAGGGGGTGCACTCGATCGGCCGGCGGGTATTTCGGCCTGGGCCGGCTGAATTTATTATTTGGAACAAAATCGACGCCGCTTTGCGGCCCCTCGAAGGCTATCGGCGCCAAGGAGCGCAGCGGAGCGAAGCAAGGAAAATAAGACGAGTGCCGAGACTGCGGCGGATAGCTTTTCACGAGATCGTGAATCGGCAACCGAGGAGGATCTCCTTGACCGCTTGCTAGCTCTCAAAGTCGATCGTCCCCGAGAGCTTTTACGGGTTTTGACGAGAGAGCGCCGTCACGATGTGTAAACCATGAGCCCCTTCGACGATCCTTCGAGCCTCCCACCCTTCTCCAGGAGAAGCGCGACTGAAAGGATGTGGAGGGTGGAGGTGGCGGCGGGATTCGACTGAAAGGCGAATCCTTTTTACGAGCTTGGATACATATACGCTTGGAGCCCGAAGGAACGAGAGCAACGACGACGACGACGACTATCGGCCATGGGGATCCTCCTAGTCCCCGTTGCAGTCTCATTGCCGAATCACGAGTTCTGAGGCAAGCAGCGACGCATAGCGATTTTCCGAAAATCTCGCGCCAGAGTGACTTTTGCCCCCGTTGGGTATTGCCACTTCAGGCCGCACCGTCTCTAATGTAAAGCGTTGTAATCTAAATATGGATAAGGCGTGGGACACGCGACGACTTACCGAAGGTAAATATGCACATCAATTGCACGTTTCGCGCTATTGCTCTGTTCGGAATCGAACTCGATGACACAGGCGTCGGAAATTTGAAGAACTCGCAGTCGCAAAGCCGAATTAAATCTATAAATATAAATCTTGACAAGGAAATACATTCACGCAAACAAATATAATCTCGTCCTTAACGAAATCCTCTTGTACAGAGTGTCTCACATCAATCGCCAAATATTGAAATGGTAGATAATGGAAGTCAAACCGAAATGGAAACTATCTTCGCTATTCTAATTGAGGGAGTGGGGGAGAGAGCTCATTAATCAGAATATAGAAACTAGTCTAAGGACTGTATTAATAGTTGTAATCTGAAACTTGTCTCATATGAGATAGTCAGTGTTTTATTCAGTTAGATTCAAGTTTTTCAGTTGAATTATGATATATGTGACAAATATCATATCATCTGTAATTGCGGTTTAACTTGTTTAACTCTGAATTCAGATCTGAGTGTCTCACTTGAGAAAAGTTTCAAAGAATAACTATTGATACAGCTCTACGGCGGACATTTACATTTTTTTCGGTACGCGTCGCTATCTGCGTCCAACAATTATAAGATGTGTTATGTATGAAAATTAATTAATAACTCGTTAACTATTGCTCGTATTTAAAGGGTTTTTCAGTTTAATTTCTACTATCTGCTATTTCAATATTTGGCAGTTAGTGTAGGACACCCTGTAATAGCTTCAAAAGGATTCTTCTAAAGCCAAAAGAAAGATATTCTAAACATAATATTATTCTTCTTCATTAGAAGAGAAATATTTCCCGAAACATTCCTTCGGGAAAAGTTCCAGTTTAGCATATGGGGTTACAGAAAATAGCAACTTGCACTAAAGTTCTCTTTTTTGAATATCAGGACGTTTTCCTTTGAGGTTTAGGAGAATCTTGAGACTATGATATAAAAGGATTCTGCTAAAAATGAGATTATATGTTTCGAGTATTCTTTTCTCATATCGCTTCTGGGAAATTTAATAAATAACTGCAATCTCTGAAACGCTAATAATTACACTCATAATAAATAATCTCGCAATGTAAAATCAAATCGTTAAGGCAAGGCGAGCATTATATGTACAAGTCCAACTCTCATTAACTTCTTCGCCAAATGAACGCTCCACGTGGAAGACCTTGACATGTCGGCCAAGGCAGTCCACCGATACTCACAGCAGCGAATATCCCAATACCGTTTTCTCTTGACCGGGTCTTCGATCGCCCTAACTACCCTTGGAGGGCACTCGCGGCACATGCTCTGCCGAGTACTACCACGTGTGGAGCACATAACGTACGTGCAGCAGTTCGATTCGCCATTGGATTATCGGACTCGGCATTCCGAGCAATTCCCGACGGCCCAGAATTTCGGCCGAGTCGTTATTGCTCTCGGTTGGCTGGTCGAGAGACAATTTCTACCGACGACGGCGGCGGCGACGGTGGCCCCACGTCCTTCAGCCGGCCGCCAGCGGAGGTGAGCGATCGTGAATGGACGATGTAGAAGTGAGAGACCGGGAACGACGTAGAACGAGCGGGACAAATTTGACGCGGCGCTCGCGCTTGGTGCTGGTATGTAAGAGATAATTGATGATGTTACGGTTCATTGCTGACCTCTCTGTTATCCGACGCAGACAAATATTGACAGCTTCCTATCACAGGGCGGGTAGTATCCTTTGTACGCGCCCCACGCACCGATGCTTGATGTCTGATGTTCGGTTTTCCTATCGAACCGCTGAGCTCGTTGGTAAATCAACGTCCGTGTTCGACGTGCATGTCGACTTCACTAAATTAAAGCATCCTGGCGCGTCCCGCTTGTGGGTATCGCGCGCGAGTTCTCCCGTTCTTGCCCGCTTGATTTTTCTATACAAAGGATACGCCATTGTTCTGTGTTCCTTTTACAGTCGATAGGAAGCTTTCATGTTTCCACAGTTGGAATTTAAAAGTGGTCAATGAATATATAACGGACCGTCGACTGAAAGGGAAAAACACCCGTCCGACAACGAAAAAACAAAAAAAAAAGAAAAACAAAAAGAAACCGGAAAGCTCAGCAGAAACGTACGAGTAATGCAGGAAGGAATCACCATGGCGGCTGAATTTTCGGCACGCCGACAAAGCGTATGAGAGACCACGAGAAATCGATTGATCGGTACAGTGTTTGAACGCGAGGCCTCTGACGTGTGACGAAATCGTCAAAGAGACCACATTTTCGGAACATGAGATAATATAGTGAGATAAATCGCCTCCTCTGTCATAGTTACAGAGCCTCGGCTCCTTGTAGAGGAAGAATGACAGTTCAGGGAGAACGCGTAGTTCCAGAGAGCATAGCTTCGCGATGATTTGTAGCTGCATTGTTTACTTTAGGCCAATCAACGAGGGACGATAATGAGGGTAGATCTGTAGCAGTTTCATAGGACACGCTCGAGTCGTGCAACAAGCATCGACAAAATGATGCAACCGATCCAACCAATATGTCAATGATATAATTGACGCAATGGGCTTTGAAAACACACCGATATCCTACCGAGCCGTGATAGGAAGGTAGTAAACAGAGACAATTTGTGGGTATATAAGAAATTGCACATCTAATACTTTTTGGACATTGTAACATAAGATTTCGCTAAACAAGATGCAGCAGCATACATATATGTATTTGTTCCTAAAGTCCTTTATGTAAACTGTGTGACCGAGGACGCGTCCACGTATCAAAATTGGCCGAGTATAATAGCTTCACCGCGCAATACCGGCATTGACACGGTGAGCACTCGCCGTGAGTTCGCACAAGTCGACCGACAGAGGTACGTGGGTACAGTTAAAACGTCGAGATAGTCGCTGCTATTCATTTGGTCATCGGATCAGCCGTTGTGCCGTCTCACTTGAATTATAAACCTACGCGTTTTCATATGTCTATATCAGTCGTATTATTTCGCCCGTACGTTCGACAGACACCTTGCAGGCCTGGACCCAGTATACGTTGCGAAAGGCAATCACCTCTCAAAGGAAGCGTTCGTTCCTATAAACCGTTCCTAGTAACAAGTTCCGCAAAATTCAATTAGGCGATCTACGTGGCCCGCGGCGAATCATCTGCTTGTTTCTGACGAAGCCCGGGACGTTAATGTTCTTCTGATCCGCGTAATCGTTCGATCTAGAAGTTGCCGCTCCCCACCGGCGCTCGTGTTGTGCTGATAGCGGCAGTTCAGAAGTTTCGCGACGGCGGCGTGGCCTTTCAGGCAAACTCCTTCATCTCGGATTCGAGCTTGTTGATCACCCACTCCAAGCCTTGCCGGCCCTCAAATGAAAAAAAAAAGGATTACATGCATGCGTCTCGCATGCGAGCCGTGATCGTGAGAAGATCCCTCCTCCCTTCCCTCCTTGTTGCAATACCTGGCTATCATTCATAAATTTTTATGAAACGCGCGAGCGCATCGCCGTTTTATGAGGCGTTTTATCTTTGACACCGTCCGCCGAATTGAAAATACGCCAATAGCGCGCAGCGAAAAAAATTTCTCGGCTAGAATCCCGCGTTTTTTCACTCTAGATTCGCGCGTTCCATCGTGTTTTTCGCTTGATCGTAAAAAAAAAAAAAAAACAGGCAACGAGTTCTTGCTTATCAATAAAAAGATGTCGAAAAATAGTGATTGCCGTCACTACAATTGCAAGTAAAAATATTGTGCACAAAGAAAATTGCATTTAACATCGGACTTTTTTAGTCCTTTTTCTTAACCCTTGTGTCAATACCCAGAAGTTTACGTTAGATCAATACTCATAGTAATTTTCCATGTTGCAAGCAGAGAAAGGCTCTCTATTGTTCCCTGATTTCTTAACTTTCTCGGCTTCTTGTAACAATAGTTTGCGTAACGGTCAATGTTCCATCTCTCCCTTTCTGATTTACATAAATTTGTTCAGTTCGGCGCACAATGCAGTAAAAAAACACTAAAATTCGCTAGATAAGTCTAATATTAATGATTTTTTTTTTATTGACTCGTTATGTCTTGTTTTACAATTTAGTCGTGCGAATTTTGTAAAATTTAAATTTTGAAAATTTGAATTTTGAAAATTTAAGCTAAAGTCCAAAATGTCAGATTAAAAGTGATTGAGAAAAATATTAAAATTCTAAAATATTGAATATTCCCTATCTTATATTAGCGGCAGAACTTGTGTGAAATTGTTCAAATAATAGGAATTCAGAGCCGTTTGACAATATTTTATATTTTTATATATATATTTTAATAGGAACTATTGAAATTAAAAAAAAAATCCAAATAACCCTTATTGTATCGGGTAACCTTTGTTGACATAAGGATTAATTTTCCACAGTAGTCACGACTGTCTCTGAGAGATGTTGAGCAACTTCATTTTAATACGGCACAAAGTGGGATTTAGAGTAATACACGCCATAATTTTCCTATCTTTTTCTATCAAAAATAGCTGCCTAAAATTTTGAAGCTGCTTCTTAAAAATGTTGTATTCTTCTTTTAATTAATAAAATATTCAATGAGATTTCTATTTTTGTTCCGTACAAACACGCGACTGGCGGAAGATTAATGAATTGCATGAACAAATGAGATATGCGTGTGAGAAGAAATGGCTTACTTTGCTCGCATTAAAAGAAATTTTTGAAGTTAAGAGATCCTCCATGTAGTTGGTCAGTGGTACCCCCCGGACAGTGACTATCGCCTCCTGCGTGAGCAATGTCTTGCCAGGATCTTCCGGATGGGGTGTGTATCTGACAGCTTCGTCTACAGCGATGTAATTGCCGAAAGTTAACTGTAAAAAACAACAATGGTCTGATCAGCACGAATACCATAGCACTTTAACTCCTAAATAGGTATGTGACTTCTTTTGACGTAAGCGCTCGCGTGGACGTCACAATCTGTGACTCACATTTTAATTTATTTATGGGATTTGTAAACATAATCTTTTGTTTCTATCTATAAGTAATTCTAAACTAAGATAAGTTTTAAATATAAAATAATTTCTAAGTATTACAAGTTAAAAAATCCTATACTTAGGGGATGCCAAAGTGGATGACAAACTAAGAGAATGTCGATAACATTGACATAAACACGCTTTTCATATTTTTTGTATAGATAATCTTATATAAATGTATGTTAGGTCAGAGTTTGAGCCCCACGCGTTCATTTATGGTAATTAATATATTCCTGTATATTTGTTAGTCGAAAGTGATCCATTTGCGAATTTCGTATTATGAATATCGCAGAATTACTAATTATATTAACCGTGCGATTTTTATAAGACGCACGTCACTCGTGCTAAAAGTCGTTGTCGTAATTAAAACTCGGTCGAGTACGGACTGTATTGCTATAATTACATTGCAATGTTAGCACGGTTCCGCCGTGCGTGCGTTTCGTGAAACTTGTGAGTTTTCTTAAGATTAACTTCGCGTCAGATTCAAGTTTCGGTCGTTCACACCGAATGTTGTTGTGCAACTCATGGGTTAGCAACCCTGGAGTAGATGGTCAGCCAGAATAATCGAGATAGAATGTTTCCACGAAAGTGACGCGAACCTTGAATAATCGATTCTACTCGCAATAAACTCGCAGGAACGAATCAACAGAGTGACTTGTGAATTGCTTCTAATTGTTAATAAGTATCCTCCTTCGAGTGAGAAGACATGAATGATTTAAAAGATCGAACACAAGACTTGTCGATAAGGATTATCCAAATTGGTTTTTCGATTTGTCTGTTACGTACATATTTTACATATTTTAGTACATATTTTAGTGAGTGAATACGATAGTGTTGGTAAAATGATATCTTTTTCTTATTTTCTGGTTTTATCGTAAATATCATATTGTCTCACATTTTCTCGGAAAACTGTCGTAAAGTCAACCCGGTATTCACACGACGTGCCGCGGTTTTTGTCAGCGAGGGTTACCAGCGAAAGGATCGCGACGATAATGCAACCCTGCGTCGAGTGACCACGATATATCGCGAACAGCATCGCACAATGGACCGAAACGCGCACGCGCTGCAACTCATGCAATTGTGCAGATTCGACGTGTACGTTGCAATTAATTGAATACGTAGAAGAGCGTGGAGAACAACGAACCCGGAGAGTATCGCGCGTTGGAAGACCATCTCGAATTCATTACAATGCGCCGGTGCGTAAACACGCGAGGCGGAAGTAACAAACAGCACTTCGCGGAGCGATGTGCAGCGCGCTTTTGTTGCGCCGCGGCATTCCATTGGTAGACGAAACCCGTAGAGTGTAACGTGCGTCGCGCGTTGTCATCGCGTGGATTTGTTTCCTGCCACGGGAGGAACAATCGCGCCCGCGCTCTCTCTCTCTCTCTCTCTCTCTCTCTCTCTGCTTGCACGGGGAAGGCGCCTAGGGGGGCGCGAACGCGAGACGGGTGATAACTGGTGTGGCAACTGGGCGCCTCCAGCCAGTTACCCCCGAGGCCTAAAGTTTAATCTACGTCGCTGTCATAGAATTTACACTAGCTATAACGCATTTACTCTGTAGGTATCATGTTGTCGCTAGAAATTCGCGCCACGACAGAATAGATAATTTCGATTTCTATGTATGAGTTGCGAAGCAGCAGGCGACATTACAACTACGGTGTCTAAGTGATTTTTCATGATATGACTGACAATCCTTCTTGAATCCTTAAGAAAGTAGTGAGGCCCAGTGTCGTATTTTTTTAATGGTGGCGCATCAAGGAGACCAATTTACTTTATATTGAACGAAATTATGTTTCTATATATTTATCTCATTACATAAATAATAAATGTTGATTTGAGATAAAGTTGAGATAGACATACACACATAATATTACGGAAAATATATATTTTATTTTTATTTTTCTTGTTAATGCTTCATTTGTGCATTAGTTATCTAATAGAGATGTACAAATAATAGGAAGAGGTATAGAAGTGTTTAAATATGTGTATATATATGTATATTTCAAATATTATTATAAATTATAAACCTCTCTCTCTCTCTCTCTCTCTCTCTCTCTCTCTCTCTCTCTCTCTCTCTCTCTCTTTCTCTCTGTATTTTCCAAACAAATCGGTCAATAATTCTGAAATTTGTGCATAACATCTCGGTACATTAGTCTTTAATACCATAGTAGTTTTTCACTAAAACTCTAATTTTACTTTATAAGAAATTAAAGATAGCACGCCAACTTCAAGGAACACGTATAAAAAGTATCAACTTTCAACGAGTCAAGATACTTTTTATCTTGACGCGCAGCCGCGAAAGGGTAAATTACACACGAGCAGAGTGTGCGCGTTAGAATAGGAAATAATGCTAACAATATTCACATAAGGTTCTAGAATAACACGAAAGCGATTAATCCACGCGCGATAAGATGGGTCTTAACACATGTACATTGCGTGGAAATTGCTTTACTCGCGGCCTTATCGTGCGTTAACACGGGGCCAGTGGAGAATCGGATCATTATGAGGTCCGCACGAACTATCGCGGCGTAGCAACACCGTGGGATGGAACAATTGAATCGCAGGGGCGCAATACGTTTCACGAGGAAATTAACGCCCGCGGCACATTGTGGGTCCGCCACCATCCGGAGATATAGAACGATGCGATAGTGCCCTCTCTGTGCACTTCGCCATATTGGCAATCAGTGAAGCCGACTGTGCTGCATGGCGCCCGACTGTCCAACTCACTTCGCGGCACAACGAATTTCCAAAGCGCCCGAGCCGCAGGAAGAAACGAAAAATTAACATTACGCTGCGCGGGCTGCCTTTCATGTAGCTTACGGCTGGCGAGTCAAAAACAAAGATGTCGATTAAATCCGAAGCGAATGGAAGCTTCAGCAGTGCAAATGGCCACGTGTGATCACCGTCGCGTGATCAAAGTCCGTTACTCTAATTACGCACTTGACGTTATAGGTCGACAGTAATATACAGTTCTTCTCATTTTGCATCCGACATTTCGTTGCTTCACAATTCGACTGCAATTTTTGTTCAAATGTGCTATTGTATTGTGTCATTGTGTTATGTATCATGTGTCGCGTGTTTATTAACGGAAAGAGCGACGCGGAATCTAAAAGACTGTTGAAACGCGATAACGTTGTAATTGCGAAACACTCTATGAATGAATTCTACATCACAACGTTATATAGGACGCGGGAATATGAAAATTTCTCAGAATACAGTAATGAGCAAAAATTAGACGGGGCATTGAATTTCGTTGTCCCCAGGTAATGGATTTCACGAAAGTATATCCGAACCTACTCCACAATTCGTAGAACACAAAGAAAGGAGAAGGTCGGTAGGAATTGAAGAGCTGTGCACGAAAGTGCATGACTGCTTGTCTAAATAAGATACCGTTGTTACCGGTCTCGTTGCATCGCCGATGTGGAGCGCTCGGTATCATCGTTGCGTTATTGTATACCGTACTTAATTTTCCATCGCGGAAAGACCGTTACGTTCGCGGGAGTCGGTCACGTCTGTTATCTCACTACTAATAACATCAACCTAAATATGTATATTTCGTCAGATCTCAATTTCATTACTGCGCGTAGCTGGCGCAGCTGGGACCACCGCTCGAGGACCGTAATTAACTATCGCGTTTTTGCGCGAAAACAATATATCCTCTTCTCTGTTATGCCGACTGCTCGACCGGGCGGAATGCACAAAGGAGGGGGCGGGCGCCGTGCTTTTTCCAAGAATATTTGATAATATCTAATAGCTTAACGTCGCGCACAAAGCCTTTCCGCACAAAAGATGGATGAACGTTTCGACGGCGCGAGAGGGAAAGGCAAGTGGAAACAGGTGTAATTGGCAAGACGAGAGAGGACTCACTGTCGCGTCTGTGACGAGTCGTAATCGCACTCCTCTTAAAATGAATTTTTTCCGCCGCGCGGGAAACGCTTTGCTTAATACCGCACAGAATTACGACAATCCGGTGTTATATCAAAGAGCAGTCGCTTCCCTTTCGGCTTTTGTTCCCAGCCCCTTTCATACGAGCAACCAACCGTGCGAAACAGAAATCGCGTTATCTTTTGATTTTCGAAACGCTTCCCGCGCGTTCGCGTACGTGCGTGCGTGTGTGTGTGTGTGTGTGTGTGTGTGTGTATGTATGTGTGTGAGTGATGTATATAATTTTTGCGCAGAGTGAAAAATTTAAACCTTTAAATACGCATTTGCATGTTATACAGGTGCGAGATATTTCACGAAAATAAACGGACAATAAAGTAACGGGTGATTGAAAAATGCTACGAATGCGCGTGTTTCGTTAATTTGTTCCGCCGCGTGACTGTTTTTGTGCGTTTTTTTTTATGTAACGCAGTTTGTCGCTTTCCGCAAAAAAAAGCGCGTACATCGGATTTACGCTAATAGCGCAGCCATGGCGCTCTACGTGCGCGTAAATCAACAAACATCATATCTAATCCCCTCGCGAGCTGCGCGAGAAACAAGCACGAAATGTGCTTCTCGGCGTCGAGATAAATTCTTTTTCCCGCGGCGAATATCCAGATGGGTTTGCTCGCACACTCCACGTAGCGTTTCTCGAACAACAAACGGCATAATCTCTCGTTCTCTCTCTATCCCGGCCGTCTCATCAGCGCCTTGGCGTGAGCTCGCGTGTAAGCGCCGTAAAGAGAACAGAATTATGACACCGCGAGAAAGAAACGGGATACATAGAGGAGAACGGACGGCGTTTAATCGTATCAGGCGGCTAGGGCGGCGATCGATCGTCCGTTCCGTCAGCTGCGAATCTGTCGTTGACGCCGCGAGTAATTAATTTCGGCCTCTTTTTTGTTTCCGGCACGGCC